ACCATGATGTTGATGTCTGTTATTGATTTGGGGGAAATGGGAATAGTTAAAGGCCTAGCGAGCCATGTGAAATATTCACGTGGGACATTTTCTTTCTTACATTTTCTGTACATGTAATTCCTATGAAGCAAAAGAAAAACCTGAGATTTTCTAAATGCTTAGTTTTACACAATTTTTTCTACTCTTGTGATGTCAGTGGGGGTAAAAATTTGCTATGATGGTCATCTCAAGCACACAGTTCTGGATATGGAATAGAAACCACCTTTCTTTTTGTGAGAAAAGTCATAGTCAGATGGTTACTATCGAGACAGAACAAAAAAAAATGGGTTTTATAGACCAGAAAATAGTTAAAGTAAAGCAAGTAAGATGTAAGAATCTCTACATTAAGTGGACTGGTACTTATAGAAATGTTTGTTCTACTGTAGTTGAGCATTTAAACCACTTTTTTACTACAAGCCGCATTCATACAGTACTTTGGTCTATGCCTTTAAGTATTTTCTGATTTTCACACTCAGGCACAATTTGGAGTTTGGGATCTCACTCAAGGACACTGAAGTTCAAATCACTGCCCTTCCAATTGGTAGACAGCCTGCTCCACCTTCTGAGCCACAGCCGTTACATAGTGAAATGTTGGATGTTGTGTATGATAACATGCTTCCCTACCACTGATGCGTCAATTGGATTTGAGGCCGGAGTACCCCACTCTAAAGATGTGTTAGTAGTTAGTTTTATGCCAGATGTGACAGGAGCCAAACTTTACAAAAAGTTCCAAAAACCTTTATTTGGAACTAGTATTTGGGAATCAAGATGTGTTTTTTTTTTTTTAGCAAATGGGAGACAAGCTTTTGTGCTCTTTTTGGTCAGCGGTGGCTTTTACTCTCCCAGGGGTGCCATTTTTGCCCAGTCTCTTTCTTGTGGCTTTTTTTTTTCAGATAGGTTCCAGGTGTGTTTGGATAGCTTTTTTTCTCTCAAAATTTCTCTCAAATAATAAAATAATCATTTAAAAAATGTATTTTGTGTTTACCTGTGTTATCTTTGTATAATATTACAATACTCCAAAAGTTGATTCTGTTCATCTGGACGTAGCGTTTTCTGGGAGAAACGTTTCGTCACTCATCCAAGTGACTTCTTCAGTCTCAGCTGACTGCAGGTTTC